TGTACTATATCTAGTTAAGTATATGCACAGTTTTGTAAACTAATGAAATTTGTTATTTATAAACTTAAGTAGTATTTTATCAATCTGTTTTATAATCCATGTACACCACAAGTGACTGGCTTCTCAGATGAAACATAAGTTTCAAACTAGGGATATAACAGAAATTTATTCTGCATGCTCGAAAGATTAATCTAGCTAAGTGACTTTGAACAATACTGGATGACATAAATATCAAAATGGTTTACAATTTATGTAAGTACACCTAGTAGGCTATACTTCATTAGTTTCGGATTTACAGTTGTGATATCGTGAGATGTTATATTGTGACTTTATTTTAGGCCTGTGTAAGGCGGTAATTAATTATTTATGTTACTGTCATTAAGTGGGTAATGAATTATAAAACAAATAATCAAAACATTTCAGAGGTGGGGCGCCAAAAGTGTATATATATTTATAACTATGCCTCTTTACCTAGGTTTCAGGTTAGTGTATTCTTTTTGTAATAAGTAAAACAAAAGAGTGGTATAACAAGTACAAGTGACTAAGTGAAAGTGGGCAAATTTTCTGATATGCAAAGACGATACCAAGAATCATATAGAACAAAAATTATATTATTTTAGTTTTACGTCGATATTACAAGTTAGGGCACATGGTTTATATGACATAAAGCTAGCGCCATGATAATGCTAGTTAAGTATAGAAGCTACATAATGGAAAGTTCTATCCACCACCTTTCCTTGCCACTGATAACAAGGTCAACACTTCTCTCTCTCTCTCAATATCGGGATTTTAGGTCTTTGCGACTTAGGAGGGTCAGGCTCATAGTGACCTCTTCCTCTTTTCCGGACTGTGTTTAATCAACAGTGAATGTTGGTGTTTATACAACATGAGCGTCGGAGTAAACCGCACTTGCTCCGACCCCTTTCAGGGCAATGTCCATGTAGGTATCGATAGTTACATTCTGTGTTTTGCATTATATCTCTTGAGTCAGTTCCATAACACACATAACACATTTCACTAGTTAGAAGCTAATCGAATTCATTTGACATAAAATACCCTATTAAATGTATTGTTCTTAGATTCTAACTAGTGTAGGGTTTTAAGGTCTAGTGATAGGTGGCCTTATTAAATCCTTAATTCTAAATTAAATGTTTACAGGTGAGAGGTACTTAGGTCTCCTTCCACCATGTATGTAGTAGCGATAAAGTTCACAGAGTATATCATTCTTTTGCTAATTTTACTCAAAGTAATTTAGAGTATTATGCAAGAGTCTATCTATTGTTTGTATATTTGCATATCTGTGCATAAATTTTGATGAGGTACTGCGGGGGACTTTGTATGCTGTGGTGATTAGTGTGTTTTGTATAGTTTGTAGTTTATTTATGTGTTTTGGAACTATGTTTATCCATGCAGGGCTGGCGTATTCTATTATGGGACGTATATATGTTTTGTATATTTTAATAATGTTGTCAGGTGATGTTCCCTGGGTTTTGCCTGTTAGACTTCTTGCATAATTTGTGCGTTTCCATATTTTTGTTAATATATTATTTGTTTGTTTTACCCACGTCAGTTTTGGGTCGAAAGTTAATCCTAAGAATTTTGCAGATGTTGTGGTCTGGAGAAGTGTTCCATTCATATATAGTTTAGGTGGGTCTTTTTTGTGTTTTATTAATCTTGTGAAGGTTAGTAATTGGCTTTACGGGACGTTTATTTTTATACTATATTTTTGATAGTATTCTTCCATATTCTTTAATAGTGGTTGTAGATTTGTTGTTGCTCTGGATGGGGTGAGGACACTTTTACATATCGCAACATCGTCCGCGAATTGTGATGCACATCCTTGATTTGGGTCTTTTAGAGGCATATTACTCACATACATGATGAATAGAATAGGGCTAACTACTCCTCCTTGGGATACGCCTGCCTCTAGGGTAAATGCCTCAGAGTAGATTCCCCTTACATTTATTTTACATGTTATATTATCCAAGAAGTTGGATAGCCAGCGAATAATCACCCGCGGTAGTTCCAATTCTGTCATACGGAACCTGAGACCATTGTGTCATACAGTGTCGATAGCTTTCTCGACATCGAGAAAGCAGGCGACAGTGCATTCATTTTTATTAAAGCTATCTATTATTGTTTCTATTAGTCTAACCAGATGATCAGTTGTCTGTCTGAATTTTCTAAAACCATTTTGAGTTTTGGGGTAATTTTGAAGTGACTTCTAGGTAATTTGAAAGTCTATTGCTTATTATTCATTCTAGAATTTTGCCTACGCAGGTGGTCAGGCTGATCGGCGGTAGTTGTTTGGTTTATTTGCTGGTTTTTCTTCTTTGTGGAACATTAATACGATCGCTTGCTTCCAAGAAACCGGGGTATATCCAGAACTTAGTGATAAATTAAAAAGTGGTGTAAGGTGTCCATATAATCTCCGAGTGCCTTTCTTGAGGAGGATGGCCTGTATGCCGTCTTCTCCTGGTGCTTTGTTTTTGGTGGTTTTAATGGCTTGTTAAACTTCTGTTTCTGTAATTGTTTTTGTTAATAGATCTGTAATTGGATTGTCTATTTCATTTAATGTGATACTTGTGTTTTGTATGTTAATTGGAAATTTTAGTGTGTATATGGTTATGTTTTGTTTAATGTGGTTGTTAACTTTGTTGTAGAAATGTACATTCATGTCTGGTTCATTGTGTGTTTTGAATGTGTTTGGTAGGTGTTCTTTGAAAACTTTTGCCTTTTCGGTGTTTGTGTATGCTGTCTTATTTTGTGTTTCTAGGGGTAGATAGTTACTATTAGTGTTTCTTGTATTGGTGAATCTTTTTAGGTGGTTCCAGAACTTTTTTGGGTCGGTTTTATCATTTAGTTGGGAGCAGAAATTGTCCCAACTATCTTGCTTTAGTTGACGGACTTCATTTCGTATTTTGTTCCGTATTGTGTTTATTTGTGTTTTAAGTGTTGTATTTCGGGTTTGCATGAATTGTCTGCGTAGTTTTCTTCTTTCTTTTACCATTTCTATGATTTGTGTGTGAGGTTGCCATGTTTGTGTTGTTTTTGGTTGTTTGAGTTTGGGTATTGTCTGTTTTGCTGCCGTTTGTAGACACTCGGTGACTGTATGCCAGTATGCATTTATTTCGAATGCTTCCGCGGCTTCACATACTTTTGTTTTGGGTAGCATATTGGCTATGATTTTTTGATATTGTATCCAATTTGCTTTCATATAATTAAATTTTTCGGTTTCTATTGATTTATTTGTATGGGGGATGACACTGAAGATACACCATACCGGTAGATGATCACTATCTATGTCTTGTCCTACTTGAAAATTTACGAATGTTCGACTCATATTAAACGAACATAGGCATAGATCCAGGATATCGCTGGTGCCATATGCGTCTGATATATGTGTCGGGGAAGCATCATTTAATAAGACTGTGTTGGTATTAGTTAGTTAATTAAATAATATTCTTCTATTAGCGTTAGTTTCTTTGCAATTAAATATTCTGTGTTTACTGTTTAAGTCTCCTGTTATTATCATATTTTAGTTATGGCTATTTAAGTCACACAAGAACTTAATATCTATGTTTTTGCTCGGTGAGCAGTAGATACCTGCTTCCGTTATTTTTATGGCATTTTCAGTTAGGACATCTATGATTATACATTCATTTGTGGAAGGTATTTCCACTTGTGATACAATAAGTTGTGACTTATATAATAGGAGAATACCTCTGTTGTGGTCAGTTCTGTTTATTCTATCTTTTCTGATAGTAGTGTAGCCTTTAATTTTGAATCTATGTGTAACATATTAAAAAAGTTTCGCTAATTATAAGTATGTCTGGTTTAATAGTGTTGGTTAGATCTTCAATCTCATGTTTCTTGGAAGCAAGTGCACCTTGGATGTTGACATGTGTCACCGTGAATTTAATTTTTTAGTGTGTTTGTTATTGTCAGCAGAATTTATGGAAGATATGTTTGAATCTTATCAATTAGTATTTTTAATAGGATGTCTATACAGCTGCCTGTTCTGGATGGATTTGAGAATTCTTCCATGAATTCAGTGGCTATGGTTTTTAGAACGTTAATTAATGTCGTATCCTTATTTTTTTTTCATTTGGTTTTGTTGTTGTTTTTGACTTTTCTTGTGTTATTTTGTTGCTTTCTGGGGCAACTTCGGTTTGTATTTCATTGTTATTTTCCTTTTGTTTCGTTACTTTGTTCGTGACAGCTGTGACGTATGTTGTTTTTTTGTGCTTGTGGTGTTGGTAATAGTGTCTTTTTCTGTATTGTTTGTGGTGGTTCTGGCTGTATTTAATTTTGTGCGTTTGGGTTTTTAATTTCATATATTCTTGTTTTTATATTTTTGACAGCCCTTGTAGTTGGCAGTGTGGTGTTCCCCACAATTACAACACTTGGGTTCTGGGTGTTGTTTAAATGTGACCGCTATGAAGTAGGGGAGGGGGGACAAGCACACATATTTACCATATCGACATACACATGTACATTCTGCTTACTTGACGGTAACAAGGTCAGTCAAAATGACAAAATCCGTATGCATAAGTTGCGAGGGAGGTGCCTCTAGTTGTCACCCCCTTGTGCACACTCTTGACACCCTCACAGAACACATAATCTGCAAGTTCATGATCAAACATCTGTTTCAACCTCATATACAAGAGCTAAGATGTCATTCATTTTCAACAAATATATAGCTACCACATGTCAGTTGAATGAAACGAATCATTATCATCTTTGTTACAAGAAAAACAATTTTGACGTGCATAGACACATTTGATAGTGTGACATCTTAATGGACGCAATATTCAAAAGGCTGAAATTGATTCATTGTTTGACAAGCAGGTCGAAACAAACCAACTTGTATCGTACTGATAAAAGTTTCGGGTTTACATTAGCGGCGTTTCAGAATTAAAATAGCTGACTGTGTTGAATCGTGTTTTGTAGAATTGTATCAAGTTATTTATCTATACAAAATATCTACACTAGCTTTGTCTCTTACGTTTTGGTTAACAAAAGCGTTTGAAATATTTGCTTTGCTCAGCTGAAAGATAATATGCCGAGCCTTCATATACTGGGAAAATTAATAATGCACAAACACTGCACCCACTTGTCAGACGTTTTAAGCTCAGTGTTAATTAGATAACTGGGAAGACTTGGGCTCAGTGTTTAGTGGATAACTGGAAAGACTTGGGCTCAGTGTTTAGTAGATAACTGGGAAGACTTGGGCTCAGCGTTTAGTAGGTAACTGGGATAACTTGGCTTCCTTTCTTATTTTTCATTAACGGATGTCCCTCTCCTCCTCACATGTTTGAACAACACCTATTTTTCACCTATTTAGACAATATATATATATAAACTGTTTGTGAAGAACGTGTTATAACCACATTCTACCGTTCCTTCCCCTAACATTTTTGAAACCAAGTTTAGACTACTGATTTTAAAATTTTCATTACATTTTTAAATGCACGGGCTTCCTCTGTTGTTTTCAGATTATCCTTGGCCGAAGGAGATCCCAGGAGTTTCAGATGAGGAACTTATTACCAAGAAGTGGAAATGCCCGCAGCTGAATGGTCTTTTTGAGTATCCATTTGTGTCTTCTAAGTACATCCAGTGTAGGGGAGGTATTCCAAATATGAAGGAGTGTCCAAATGCTCTCAGCTTCAACACAGTTGAAAAGAAATGCGACTGGCCGAAAGCAAAGCACACTCACTTGTAGTGTATTTTTGGATTGCTGGTTTTTAATAAGCCATGAATGATTACAAGTACTTAAAATGTACCCGAGGTTAAGTGATTTTATCAACAACAAAAAAAAACCAAAATATTTGCTCCAAACAAAGTGTCGTTTTTTTCGAATAATTTATATTTGTATATTTGCGTTTATTCTTGTTCTAGAGATTGACAAAGCTTATTTTACTAATTAGTTTACTGAACAATACTGATTATATTCTGAACAATGACGTAAAAGTAGAAAAGTTGTATTAAACCTTGAAAGCCATAACACGCAAAACTTAAGTAACAAATACTGGCATACCGATGTAAGCCTGGCGCAACGATTCTTACAATAAATATGCTATTATAATTGTGCAAACTGGAGTGTATGTAAGTGATTCATTAACAAATGTGAAAAAAATGTGAAAACATAAATTTACCGTTAAAGGTTTCTGGGGATCTTGGAAATATATTAATATATGATGAATATATTTCTAATATTTGGGAAAAAAGGTTTTTATTATAAAAAACAACAATACACGTGTTCGCCTTGACAATGGTTGTGACCAGAAATAACATATGTATATATAGTACATAGTTCCAATAAACAGTGGCTTGTTTTGAGGAATTTCGCGTTGAGCTATTTGAGGGCTAACAGATGTATTAAAGAAAAATAGCCAACGTTTAATAAACAAATACATTAACCTATTTTGTTTTAGTTAATAATTTACCGAATAAATATAAAATTTCACGAAACTGGGAACAGTCATCATTTGGAGGGTAATATTTTACACGAATGTTAAGATATATATATTCGTACTCTCAAAAATCACGTGATCAAACGCTCATACAATTTAAGAATTGCACGCCATCTAATATTTCAAAATGATTTTATTACATTTGATGTTTGCAGGTTGTGTTAAACTAACAGTTTTTTCCTATTGAATCATGTACATTTATTCTATATTCTAAATTATTTTGGTTTGTTAGTCTATCAGAAAAGCTACGTTAAAAACTTGACATAAGAAATGGTCATACAAACGTTATACAACTAATTTCGATACAATGTTTATAAGACTAAATATATGGTATAGCCAAAGACGAATTTAGTTACTAGTAATGATATTAACTGGAAGATTAACATACTTGTTTTATTTAAAGTTAAAGAAAAATAATAGCCTAAGTTATGTATCGAAGATAAATGATTTAAAACTATTGACAAATTCAATAATTTGTAAAATATTGTATTATATTTGTGACATAGTGTTATGCTAATCTTATTATTTTTTAAGTAAATCAATAATATACTATTGAGAATGAAAAAAAAAGTTAATATCTGAAACAAGGCTTGAAGATCATAATGATACGACACTGACTTTCCAATTTCTTCTTTATTCAATGAAATGCATAATACCAAAAAAAAATTCCATCCGTTGAAATGTAGAACGCTCTATGACTGAATGTCGGTACAGAGATTTTATACATGTACTTACTAGCTGAATAAGGATGATATATTTTTAGACCTAAGACCAGGTGCAAATATTTGTATATAAATATATTATGCCAGAACTGGATAGATGTATAAAACGATATCAGCGTCACAAAACACTGAAGGGAATCTAGGTTAAGAAATCAAACTTAACAAAGAAAATAAATGTACCAGATGTGTAAAATACAAAAGGTACAGGTACAGGTTTGGAAGAGAATAACGTTGGGGACATCCCGTCTCTTCAGTAATGCTTTTCATCGCAGGTGAAAAGCTAATGCATTAACAACACCAAATTAATTAAGGGATGAGACCGAGGTGCTCATTCTATCCCACAACGTAACCATTGTTTAAAGTTAGTTGTGGGCGTGATAGTTACCCCTTACAATAAACTACATCGTCGAGTAGTAATTGGTATCATGAGATGGTAAAAAGTTAAAACTAAATAACCATTTAGAAGAATTGTTCATTGAAAAGGTGGTTGCGAAAATTTTATAGTCGATTAATCTTTTTTCATAAAATCGAATCGGATAATCGTCGACCATTTTGAATCCAACAGTAGAAAACATGACGAAGGTATATAAATGGTCAAAACTAAGAAGTAGAGACAACCTACCATTTTCTAGAAACAATATGTCTGCATGAATTTGTTCTTGATTTAGCAGGCAAATTTATGTTGTATGATCTGAATGACTGCTAAAAATGCAATCCAGCTTGTAGGACTCGCATCAGTCTTAAGTCACGTGACATACCTATACATGACTATGACACAGCTTATATAACACATAAATTTAGAAATTGAAGAATAGTAAGATCATGTAAATTAATGTCTACGGGTATGAAGAACAAATTTTGAACATAGTTCAAAAGGAATTTTATTAACTGACAAAATACATTTAGTAACGTCTTTATCATTGTACATATATATATATATATATGGTGTAATTTGCCGTATAATTATTCCGTGGATGGGAGTAGCGAGAGAACATGTTCTGTATTAATTGGTAGTGGACAAAGACACCGAGACGGACACAGGATTCAACCGACTCAACTTTTATTTACGCCAACTTGGAACGTATAGGTAAAGCATATAACGCATGGCATAGAGGCTGCAGCTACAGCCACAGACATGTTAGAAGCATTGTCTGCTATCAGCGCAACGATTTGTGGCCCGTAGATTACTCTCATCATAACTCTTATTGATTTTGCGTTGTTCACCCCGTGTGTCTATATTCTTTAATACGTGTGGCTATATATTTCGATACAGTTTTATGACAAGGTACAAAGTTTGGTTTGAATTTCGTGCAAAGCTACACGAGGGTTATCTGCGCTAGCCGTCCTTAATTCAGCAGTGTAAGACTAGAGGGAAGGCAGCTAGTCATCACCATCCACCCATCTTTTTTACCAATGATTGACCGTCACATTATAACTCCCCCACGGCGAAAGGGCGAGCATGTTTGTTGTCACGGGGATTCGAACCCGCGACCCTCAGATTGCGAGTCGAGCGCTGTAACCACCTGGCCATGCCGGGCCAGATACAAAGTAATGTGAATTTAAAGAATAAATAAAGTATTTGTAACCCTGGCCCAAAACTATAGAAATCAATCGAAGATCCCTGTCACATACCAACGTCAGTTTATTAGTAATGATCTCTGACGTCGCGGGTTTCAATTTTTTGGCTTCACAATGAAAATATTCCATTGATCATGGGTGTTGTAGTGTGTCCTACCACAGACTTTTTTCTCTTCTTGTGGCCAGCCAGCAAATTCTGATGTTCTATTTTTAGTTGTTTCTTTATTAGCTACTTATTTATTTATTACTTTCCTGTAAACTGGTTTTATTGTAATTCAACACGGTTAATACATTTGCCGTGTGCTAAATGTTTTTATTATATTCATTACAAATGTCGGAAAATTAATATTTCATTGATCTGTTTATAATTAGCCAACAAATGGATTCTATTGCATTTCTAGAAGTTTTATTTATGTTTGCCCTTAAGTGATTCCACATTGTTGATGCCCCATTAACATAGAGCAGGATAAATTCACAAAGATTACATTTCGTCTCCTGCTCTTCATCATCAAGTGTGAAATGTGCCCACATTTCTGATCAGACATTTTAATTTTCGACGACGGGGAAATGATGAATAAATAAATAAATCTAAATTTTTAAATTTTGCTTTAAGTTTGGAGTAGCAAATGTCAGAATTTTATCTAGGAGTTACAAAGCTGCAGTATTAACCCTACCTTATCTTGTGGTCATGGGTCAAAGGCTATGCCATGTGTTTGTAGACTCACATTCAAAATTTTATTGAACTACTATTTTATGAATGTATGTCAATACGTTTGGTATCAAATTGTAGATTACAATTCAAATTTTAGTATTATACATTAGTTATTTTCTTAATTTGCAAGTAAATATTAAAACAAAATCCTAAATATCGATTTTTGTGTGTCACGTGGTATGTTGAATGCAGTATTGGTTCAAATTAGATTCTTGTGATGTCCAAATACAAAGTCTATAGTTTCTTACGAATTAAATACTCAAATTATCGATATTGACAAACTAGAATATAAGATAAGAACTTCTTACCTTTTCTATTTTCTGAAATATTAATATATTTATTGAATCACCAAGGTGCCTACATACACCTACTTCGCCCAATCGAAAGCTCAGAATGTACTCCTAGTGGTTTTCTCAGTTTCTGCCAAGTATTTGCGCGAAAAGCTCTTTATTTTCGTGCTGGATTTCAAATGGTAAGGTGAGACGTTGGTGAGATTGAAAAATCATATTTTTTTAGACCTAAATAGAGCTTAGTTACTAAGCTTGATAAATTGTAGTGGAATTCTGTGATATTAATAAAGTAATTAATGCTTTTTTCGGTATTTCAAAATGCACATATAAAAACTAAAAAATTATTTGTTGTACATGTTCCACGCGCGAAATTTGATAAGGTTTAGCAACTTACGACAAGCAGCAAACGAGTACGAAGTTCTTAACTAGAAGTAGAAGAGATAATTGTTTTCTATACTTCTTTACTTACTGTTCTACGTTTTAAGAAAGTTAACTGAAATTTAATAACTTGTTTGTAAATACTAATGAGGTATATACATATATAATGTATTATAACCGAAATGCTACTGTATTTTACAAAATACTGGTCCACTAGAACACAGTCAAGACAGATCACTTTGTAAAGGCCAGTTTTATATTCTTGGATACGGTAACATGAGTGCATGTGCACGGTTTCATTGCAACTTGTATAATGTTAGTCAGGCATGGCTGAAAGGTCAATAAAATATAAATAATAAATATATATTGCTGTATAATGTTATGAGATTTAAGCTTTTAGACTAAACATTTATGTTTTCGTGTTATGATTTGTAGTCATTCTAGAACGAAAAAGCGTAATCTATATCTATTTATTGGTGGTTACGAGGTCGGTCAAATCGACAAAACCCATACAGAGATACAATAGTGAAAATAACAGATAAAATATAAAATTTTCTAAAAATAGTTTGATAATTATCTGGAGTTTATAATGTTTGTTGATTTATGTACTACCGTACTTAATAATACCATTTTTCAAGAATGTAACAAGTGTTTTATGAAAATTGAGGTCCTATAAAATAAACTCGTTTATAGACTTTGAATAAATTCTTCCAATAGAAGATAAATTCTTTTACACACATATATATTATTATTAACGATATTATAATGTATTATTGCAGCAAACTGATTGGTCTCTAATTTGAATCAGTTTGCTATTTTCAAATATATTTATTCCCCATGTTTACAATAAAGACATACAGCCATTTATCTATATGAACATTCTTGAACATTTCCTAGTGTTCATTACAAGTCTCCCGATAATCATGTATACGATT